AAAAAAAATGTCATTACCTGGGCACGTGCTCTCGATGGCTGTGAGGCCACTCATTATTTCGATGGAAATTTTATGTAGTTCTCATGATAGTTTACTTTTTTCACATAAATTAGCTTTACAGTTCATCCTTAGAAAATACTTCAAAATATAAGCAAACACAATGAAACCATTATCCAACCCTAAATTTTGAATATAAAATAGCAACAGGCATTTTCCTTCCTGCTTAACCATCGAGAGAGCGTCGTCAACAAAACGTTCCAATACTTTTCCTAAATTAACATCTCATTTCGTATCTCATTTCAAATATAGGACAGCATCCTCTTGATCCTCATATTTGTATAAAAATAGGGAAAACTTTTTATATAGTTCAAATTACGAAATCATACAGATATTACAGGACAGATGCAAATAAATCATAAATCATAAATCAAGTATAGAATATCGTTCCAGGAATATAACTTTTAAATCCCGTCACTACCTATATATAAATATCACAGAAAAAATGGGGTTTTCAGATAATAGGTGTAACAATATATATATATATATATATATATATATATATATATATATATATATATATATATATATATATATATATATATATATATACATATATATGTATATATATATATATATATATATATATATATATATATATATATATATATATATATATATATATATATGTGTGTGTGTGTGTGTATGTATATATATATATGTATATATATATGTATATATATATGTATATATATATATATATATATATATATATATATATATATATATATATATATATATATGTATGTGTGTGTGTGTGTGTGTGTGTGTGTGTGTGTGTGTGTGTGTGTATATATATAAATATATAAGTCACACAAATTCTCCCCCCCCCCCCCAGCTGAAGAACAAAGCAGACCTCAGTGCCATACAGACGGCGGGCCACGAGTACGACGCCCCCAGAGAGTTCTTCGTCGTTCGCTTGGCCGAAGAGCTTCCCGCGGGCGCCGAGGTTGTTCTCTCCATGGGCTTCGAAGGCTTTTTGAACGACGAACTCAGGGGCTTCTACAGGTCGACGTATACGAATGGCAACGGGGACCAGATGTGAGTTTTATATCTGTTTGGTTTATTTGTCTGTCTTTGATTTAATGTATTTGTCTATTTGATTTATATTTTTTATTTGGGGGGAGAGAAGGGGGCGTGTTTTTTATTGTTTGTTTGTTTCGTTTGTTCGGTTTGTCTTGTTATTTTGTTCAGGTTTTATTGTTCATTCGTTCTATTCGTTCGTATCTTTTTTTTTCATTTTCTCAATTGTTTACTCTTTTCATTCTTTCGTCTGATTAATTTGTTAATTTCTTCAGTTTCTTCATTCGTTCGTTTTTTTTTTTTATTTACTGATTTTTTCAGTTGTGAATTTTTCTTTATCAACATTATCAATATTACTGTTTATTGTTACTATCAACATTATTTTCATTATCATGATCATCATTGTTGTTATTATTGTTATTTCTACCATGTCCAGCCATTCCCACTATTCCTAACCATTTCCAACCCTTTCCAACCACATTCCAGAATGTTGGCAGCAACACAGTTCCAACCCACGGACGCGAGGAGAGCCTTCCCTTGCTTGGACGAACCTGCACTGAAAGCCACTTTTGCCGTGTCTTTGGCCCGCGAGGAACGCATGTCCACGCTCAGCAACATGATGATCAAGGCGACGGAACCTGTGTGAGGAGGGGGAGCTTGGGGCGTGTGTGTTGGGGGATGGGGGAAGGAGGGAGAGGGATGGGAGGGGGAGGGGGAAAAGAGGAGGTTAAGTGGAGAAGGAGAGGGAATGGGAGAGGGAGGGAGAGAGGGGGGAAGAGGAGATTAAGTGGATGGGGAGAGCAGAGGTTGGAGGGTAGGTGGTGGGAGACGGGTGGGGGGAAGGGAGATGGGAGAGAGTAGGTGGAGGATGGAAGGTTGGAGTTTGGTTATTTTGGGGCGAGAGGGAAGGGGTATGGTGACAGGTGGAGGGTCTGCGTAGTGGGTGGGGATTCAGGCGGGTTGTGTATGCGTGTGTGTGTGTGTGTGTGTGTGTGTGTGTGTGTGTGTGTGTGTGTGTGTGTGCATGTGTGTGTTTGTGTGTTTATGCTTGTGTGTGTGTGTGCGAATTTTACGTGAGGCTGCCTAGATTTCGTTAAAGTTGTGATCGATGTGTGCAATTTTCTGGATTACAAATCATGCGACTTTGTCTAACTTGCATTTATCCACTCAGTCATTCCCCCGCACTAGGTCATAAGCCTCTCTGTCTCACGCAAGAAAACCGACTCCCACCTGTGACTAACCCTTCCCCCCACACAACCAAACTATGACCCCATTTTCCCTCCCGATATCTTGCATAACACTGACCTGATTTGACCCCCAGGGAAGGTCAGGCCGGATGGGTGTGGGACCACTACGACACCACGGTCAAGATGTCCACCTACCTTGTTGCTTTTGTCGTCTCGGATTTTGAATTCTTGAGTGCCATGGCCGGCCAGACGAATTTCTCTGGTAAGGTCAAGACAGATTTGCCTTTTCTTGTGGTTGCTCTCTCTCTCTCTTTCTCTCTCTCTCTCTCTCTCTCTCTCTCTCTCTCTCTCTCTCTCTCTCTCTCTCTCTCTCTCTCTCTCTCTCTCTCTCTCTCTCTCTCTCTCCCTCCTTTCTTTCCTCACTCCTTGTTGTTGTTCTCTCTCTCTCTCTCTCTCTCTCTCTCTCTCTCTCTCTCTCTCTCTCTCTCTCTCTCTCAGAGTCTCTCTCTCTCTCTTTCTCTCTCTCTATCGCGCTCTCTCTCCTTTCTTTCCTCACTCTTTTTAGTTTTACCAACATATTTTTTTTTCTCCAGAGATTTACAATACGAAATAAAGATTAAGATAAACTGAGAAAAATGCTAACTTTTTTCTTACCAACGGAAAAAGAATGATGCCGAGATCTAAGAAAAAAGGAATTTTATGATATTCTAAAATGAAAAGAAATCCCATGATAAGACATTTTTTCTGCAACATATCCGCGCAATAGCTATTTTTTCCATTACATTATCCCTGCAACGAGGAAAGGAAAACAAATATTTACTGGCCTGTGTTTTCTTTGTTTAAAAAATGGATTATCTCCAGTTTTATTCACTTTGTCAAAATATGCAGTTAAAATCTTATTATTTACCAAAATGCAAAAATATCATAATTAGATCCTATTTATATTTTGTTAACACCATATCGCCGCCACTCTAACCACATCACCATAACCCCCATCACCATCCACCACCATCACCATAACATTTCACACTATTTTCCTCCTAAGTACCACCACCCTCATCATCCTCTTCCTCCTCCTATCCACCATAACCACCATACCCAACTTTCTCTTAAACTACCATTACTATCAACATCCTCTTCCCAGCCACCATAACACCACCATCATCCTCCCAACCGCCATCACCATAGCTCCCATAACCACCACTATCCTCTCAACCACCACCACCATAATCACGAAGACTACCATAACCCTCCCCCTTCTCCCAACCACCACCATGACCACCATAACTCCCATAAACCAGCCAACATTACCCTGCCCCCCCCCCACCCTCCTTCTCACCCCCCCTTCCTCCCTTCCAGTGTGGGCGCGCCCGGAGGCCATGGATCAGGCTGGCTATTCCTTGGACGTGGGGGTGGATTGCCTCACCTACTTCGAGTCCTACTTCAACATCCCGTACCCCTTGCCCAAGCAGGACATGGTCGCCCTCCCGGACTTCGCAGCAGGAGCCATGGAGAACTGGGGCCTTATCCTCTACAGGTATTTAACAATCGCACATGCATTTTCCTATATGTATTCACAAAAAAAAAATACACACACAATAACTATAAATCAGACTTACACGCCCAATATAACCCAAGATTGTTAACCCAAAAAAACATTATTAGAAGACAAGTTATCAGAGTAACATGCTATAGTTCTTACATTCCACAAAATATAAAGTGACAGTATTTCACGGTCGAGTTCTTAGTAAAAAAAAAGGCTTCCAAAAGTTTTAACAGTCACAAAGTATCTTAAGAAGTTGTAAGTTAGTTTAATATCCTGTCTGTCAAGTTTGACGCGGAAACTCATAATGTAAGATGGAAAAAATGGGGAAAAAAGGCGGTGGAGAATCCTAATTCAATTCTCCGCTCGCCGGGGGAGAAATTTCTGCTATCAATCTTACGTTATGCTTACTGACTTTTTGTAAAGATGGCCTTTTCCCCCCCTTTTCTCCTTGTTTCTTCTTGTTCCCTGGTTTTCTATCACTTTTTTACTCTCATGTATGTCTCTCTCCCAACCCTACTTCCCTCTCCCCCCTCCCTCTTCTTCATCTCACCTCTCTCTCTCTCTCTCTCTCTCTCTCTCTCTCTGTCTCTCTCTCTCTCTTCTCTCTCTCTCTCTCTCTCTCTCTCTCTCTCTCTTCTTCTCTCTCTCTTCTGTCTCTCTCTCTCTCTGTCTCTCTCTCTCCTCTCTCTCTCTCTCTCTCTCTCTCTCTCTCTCTCTCTCTCTCTCTCTCTCTCTCTCTCTCTCTCTCTCTCTCTCTCTCTCTCTCTCTCTCTCGCTTCTCTCTCTCTCTCTCTCTCTCTCTCTCTTCTCTCTCTCTCTCTCTCTCTCTCTCTCTCTCTCTCTCTCTCTCTCTCTCGCTCTCTCTCTCTCTCTCTCTCTCTTTCTCTCTCTCTCTCTCTCTCTCTCTCTCTCTCTCTCTCTCTCTGTCTCCCCCACCCCTTTCTCTCTCTCTCTCTCTCTCTCTCTCTCTCTCTCTCTCTCTCTCTCTCTCTCTCTCTCTCTCTCTCTCTTTCTCTCTCTCTCTCGCTTTCTCTCTCTCTCTCTCTCTCTCTCTCTCTCTCTCTCTCTCTCTTTCTCTCTCTCTCTCTCTCTCTCTCTCTCTCTCGCTTTCTCTCTTCTTCCCATTCTCCCCCTCCCCTCCCTCTCTCTCTCCTCTCCAATCTCAACCCCCTCTCTCCCACCCCTACTCCCCCCCTCCCCCCTCCCTCACTCCCATCTCACCTCTACTCCCCCCTCACCCCTCCCTATTCCCTCACCCCCCTCTCACCCCTACTAACCCCTCCCCCCTCGCTCACCCCCCTCTCACCCCTACTAACCCCCCCCCCCCTCCCCCGCAGAGAGACCGCCATGCTGTACTCCTCCGCCGCGTCCTCGGCCTCGAACAAGCAGCGCGTGGCCGTGGTGGTGGTGCACGAGCTCGCCCACCAGTGGTTCGGAAACCTCGTGACGCCGACCTGGTGGACTGACCTCTGGCTCAACGAGGGCTTCGCGTCGTTCATGGAGTTCATTGGGGTTGACCACGTGAGTCTGCTGTTTGTTTGTTTGATTGTTTGTTTGTTTTCTGGTTGTTGATAAGGATTATAAAGAGAGGAGGAGGAGGATCGTGATTTTGGTGATAATAAGTAATGGTTAAGTGACCTTTTTTCTGACCTTCCTTGACCTGGGGAAAATGTTCCCTTCCCTCTAGCTAACCTTTTTTGACCTTCCTCAACCTTGAATGATATATCCTAGCCTCCCCGACCCCTAGCTAGTTTCTCCTGACCTTTTAATGACCCATTCTGACATTTCTTAATATTCCCGTCCCTAGGTAATTTCGCTAATTTCCCCTGATCTTTCTGTGACCTAGAATGACCTTTCCGAACACTCCCGAGCCCCAAGCTAACTTCTCCTGACCTTCCTCGGCCGGAGATCATCTTTCCAATCCTAGCTTACTCCTGGCCTTTCTGTGATCCTAAATTGTACATCCTAACATTCCCTAGTGCTAACTTCCGCTGACCTTCCTGTGACCCTGACTTTCCCCTGACCTTCCTACGACCCTGACTTTCCCCTGACCTTCCTACGACCCTGACTTTCCCCTGACCTTCCTGTGACCCCGACTTTCCCCTGACCTTCCTGTGACCCTAACTTCCCCCTGACCTTCCTGTGACCCTAACTTCCGCTGACCTTCCTGTGACCCTAACTTCCCCTGACCTTCCTATGACCCTGACTTTCCCCTGACCTTCCTGTGACCCCGACTTTCCCCTGACCTTCCTGTGACCCTAACTTCCCCCTGACCTTCCTGTGACCCTAACTTCCCCCTGACCTTCCTGTGACCCTAACTTCCCCCTGACCTGTCTGTGACCCTAGCTTCCACCTGACCATCCTGTGACCCTAATTCTCCCCTGACCTTCCTGTGACCCTGACTTTCCCCTGACCTTCCTACGACCCTGACTTTCCCCTGACCTTCCTGTGACCCCGACTTTCCCCTGACCTTCCTACGACCCTGACTTTCCCCTGACCTTCCTGTGACCCCGACTTTCCCCTGACCTTCCTGTGACCCTAACTTCCCCCTGACCTTCTTGTGACCCTAACTTCCCCTGACCTTCCTGTGACCCTAACTTCCCCTGACCTTCCTATGACCCTGACTTTCCCCTGACCTTCCTACGACCCTGACTTTCCCCTGACCTTCCTGTGACCCCGACTTTCCCCTGACCTTCCTGTGACCCTAACTTCCCCCTGACCTTCCTGTGACCCTAACTTCCCCCTGACCTTCCTGTGACCCTAGCTTCCCCCTGACCTGTCTGTGACCCTAGCTTCCACCTGACCATCCTGTGACCCTAATTCTCCCCTGACCTTCCTGTGACCCTGACTTTCCCCTGACCTTCCTACGACCCTGACTTTCCCCTGACCTTCCTGTGACCTCGACTTTCCCCTGACCTTCCTGTGACCCTAACTTCCCCCTGACCTTCCTGTGACCCTAGCTTCCCCCTGACCTGCCTGTGACCCTAGCTTCCACCTGACCATCCTGTGACCCTAATTTTCCCCTGACCTTCCTGTGACCCCGACTTTCCCCTGACCTTCCTATGACCCAAACTTCCCCTGACTATCCTATGACCCAAACTTCCCCTGACTATTCTATGACCCAAACTTTCCCCTGACTTTCCCATGCCCCTCACCCCCCAGGTTGAGCCCACATGGCGGATGATGGACCAGTTCGTCGTGGACACCTTACACTACGTCTTCGGAATAGACAGCTTGGAGTCCTCGCACCCTATCAGCATCCCCGTGGGGCATCCCGACGAGATCAATGAGATATTCGATAGCATTTCCTATTATAAGGGTAAGTGTGTGTGTTTTGTTGTTGTTGTTTGTTATCGGTGTCTTTTTTTTTCTTTTATTGTTGCTGTGTTTTTTTTTCTTGTTATTATCGTTGTTGACAGTTATGTTTTTTTTTTTTCATTTTACTTTTAGTTGTTGTTTTTTTTAGTTTGTTTTAGTTCTTTTTCTTCTTTTTCAATGTCATTATCATTACCTTTTTGTTACATCCGTGCATTTTATTTTTTATCATGTTTTCATATGTACGTTATTTTTATTAATCTATGTTTTTTATCTCCTCTTTTTCTATCTCTCTCCCTTTGCCTTTATTTCCTCATATTGTTTTATTTTTCCACATCTTTATTTTTCTACTTCTTCTTTTCTTCTTTTTTCTTCTCCTTTTTCTTCGTCTTTTTCTTCCTCTTCTTCGTCTTCTTTTTCTTCTTCTTTTTTTGTTTCATCCTCTTTTAATTCTTTTATTCCTTCTTTTTATACTCCGTCTTCTTCTTCTTCTCCTTCTTCTTCTTCTTTTACTTCTTCTTCTTCTTCTTCTTCTTCTTCTTTTACTTCTTCTCCTCCTTTTTTCCGTTTCTTTTTCTGCTCTTCCACCCCCTTTTTCCTTTTCTTCTCCTACTACTTCTTCTTCTTCTTCTTCTTCTCCTCCTCCTCCTCCTCCTCGTCCTCCTCGTTCTCCTTGTCCTCCTCCTCCTCCTCCTCCTCCTCCTCCTCCTCCTCTTCCTCTACCTTCTCCTTCCCCTTCTCATCCTCCTCTTCCTCCAAATTCCCCTTCCTCTTCTTTCTTCTCCTTCCCCCTTCTTCTTTCTTCTCCTCCCCCCTTCCTCTTCTCATTCCTTCCCTCCTTCCTTTCAAAACAGGAGCTTCAATTATTCGCATGATGTACTTTTTCCTGACTGAAGCGACGTTCAAGAAAGGACTAACTACTTACCTCAACCACTTGTAAGTAAAACAGATAGATAGATAGATAGATAGATAGATGAGATTAATGATAGATGACTTACTACTTGTAAGTAAAACAGATAGATAGATAGATAGATAGATAGATGAAATTAATGATAGATGACTTACTACTTGTAAGTAAAACAGATAGATAGATAGATAGATAGATAGATGAAATTAATGATAGATGACTTACTACTTGTAAGTAAAACAGATAGATAGATAGATAGATAGATAGATAGATGAAATTAATGATAGATGACTTACTACTTGTAAGTAAAACAGATAGATAGATAGATAGATAGATAGATGAAATTGATGATAGATGACTTACTACTTGTAAGTAAAACAGATAGATAGATAGATAGATAGATAGATAGATGAAATTAATGATATTTGACTTACTACTTGTAAGTAAAACAGATAAATAGATAGATAGATAGATAGATGAAATTAATGATATTTGACTTACTACTTGTAAGTAAAACAGATAAATAGATAGATAGATAGATAGATGAAATTAATGATAGATGACTTACTACTTGTAAGTAAAACAGATAGATAGATAGATAGATAGATAGATGAAATTAATGATAGATGACTTACTACTTGTAAGTAAAACAGATAGACAGATAGATAGATAGATAGATAGATGAGATTAATGATAGATGACTTACTACTTATAACTAAAACAGATAGATAGATAGATAGATGAAATTAATGATTGATAGATAAAGATAGATAGATAGATAGATCAAATTAATGATTGATAAAGATAGATAGATAGATAGATAGGTAAATAAGTAAAATATGAAATAAAGATAAGAATAAAATAAAAATATAAATTTGATGAAAGCGTTATTAAAATAGGATAAAATAAGCTAAAATAGATAGGCAAAACTAGGTAATGGATAGACAGATAAATAGGTGGAATGAATAGACAGATAGATCAGTGAATAAAAGATAGAAAGATAAATTATTCAATATATAAAAGTGAATACAGAGATAAATATGTAATAAATGAATGAACAAAAAAAAGGTGAATGAATTAAGAAACAAAGGAATAAACAAATGATTGATAAATAGATGAATAAATGTATAAATTGATAAACGTATATATAATAAATTAATGAACGAATGGATAAGTAAATATGTGGAAAAAAATGGGTAGAATAAATAGACCGACAAATAATATAAAAAAGTTCTCTGGAATTCTTTGCAATTGATAAGCAATAATGAAGATAAAAACGGAGAAGAAATTTTAAGTAAGTTATAGAAAACACATTAAAATCAATATGCAACTAAATATATGAAATAGATGTTGAAAATTATATTAGTATTGAAATTAATATCCAAATTAATATTAGAATTATTATCCAATTAGATATATTAAATAGCTATAAAATATAATACTAATATTAAAATCTATATTAAGATTAATATTGAAATTAATATCCAGTTTAATACATGATATAAATGTCATCAAGGAAAGGGCTATCAACCTAAGTGAATTTCGGCTCAAAATAATGGTTATCCACAACTATAAATGATCTATCCACTTAATACTAATTGAGATGACTCTAATGACCTTCTAGTTATCCACAACTATTAATGATCTATTCAGTTAACACTAATTGAGATGACTCTAATGACCTTCTAGCATTAAGGATACATTAAAAGAAAAATTGGAAATATAACTTATTGATTTAATTTTGCATTCAAGGGCGTGGTTCAACGGCATCAGGGAAATGTAGTGTAATGTTAGGGCCGAATTAAGGGTTTTCCTGAAACGAGAAAAAAAAATTAGATGTTAAAAAAGGTAGTGGAAAAAGAAAAAGGAGGAGGAGGAGGAGGGGGAGGAGGAAGAAGAAGAAGAAGGAGGAGGAGGAGGGGGAGGAGGAAGAAGAAGAAGAAGAAGAAGAAGAAGAAAAAGGAG